CGCGCTTGATCAATTGTTTTTGTCTCGCATTCGCATTCTCCCTACGGACTTACATCTTCTGGCTGCGAACGGCAGGAACAACATCCTCACCCACTGAGCGCTGTGAGGTGGCCCGTGATGAGGGAGTGGGATGATGGGGGGGGGGACGAAGACGGGGGTTGATAAGTGTTCTGCATTCCCCTCCGTATTCCAACCGCCCCAATGGGAACGGCCTCCCACCTCAGTTGAGTCACATTTGTTTGTTGGCGTTGGGCGGACGCCTTGATAGTGGTATCTACTCCATTGCCTGTGCCTACGGCGATCGCGTCCCGTTAAACAGCCCTGCGCCGTAAATTGGTTAGCAGACTATGCGCACATATATCGTTCGTTTATACCCCACCTGAAGCGTCCACTCAGCTCTAAACCTAGTCTCGGTTTGTGACCGTTCGCTAGTGTTTTCACAGGGGTGACGACTATCTGAGGGACTGTGTTAGAATCCTCTGTTCGGTGCTCGGGTGGCCGAAGGCGGCTGGAGATGGGCTTCGTCGCTAGCGCCGAGTTAACACCTACAGTAGGTGGGCTAACTCATTAAATGTCAACCAAAATTTCGAAATGCGTTCTTGTTTCGAAAAAATTAATTAAGTAGGCTCTTAAATCAAATCATGATGCAGCATAAATCTATAATGATCCAGTTACCTCAGGGTGTCGGCTTTTGAATGAAATTATTTACGACTGCATACAAGAAGTATACTCTGCAAAAAATGACCACTTGAAGAGCAAGCAATTTTCTCATTGATTTTCGATGCTCTTTAAAATTCAATTATATTTCATGGAAAACATGCATAAAAATATTCATTCTTTTATTTATTCAGTAGAAAATTACGTCTCCGTCCGATTTTATATTCGAAAGAGGAGTATAATTCGGTTTTAAAAAGCTTTTCTAATTCCCGAATAATTTCGAACCCGACCTGCTGTTACACTTGCATTCAGGGTTTCAAAACTACAAGCCGTATATTTTCCATGTACGGAGAACCATGCATTTCTCTACGGTATTAGGAGATCATATGGGGTTCATAAAATTAAGCAGTGAATTTGAGAAATGTTGTTAACTTTACAAGCCACATTCGTAAATGCAAATACATGACGTCTTATGAATGGCCATTTCACGGTATTAAAAAAATCTCAAAATTAGAAAAGTTTTTTAAAACCGAATTATACTCTTCTTTCGAGTATAAAATTGGAAGAAGACGTGGTTTTCTACCGAATAAGTAGAGGAATGAATATTTTTATGCATGTTCTCCATTAGATATAATTGAATTTTCAAGGGCATCGAAAATCAATGAGAAAATTCCATGCTCCTCAAATAGTCATTTTTGCAGAGTACAGTTTTTGTATGCAGTCGGAAATAAGTTCTTTCGAAAGCCGGCATCCTGAGGTAACTGGGATCATTATAGAATTATGCCGCATGATTAGTTTTACAAGCCTACTTAATCAATCTTTTCGAAACGAGAACGCATTTCGAAATTTCGATTGACATTTCATGAATTAGACCACCTACTGTACGTATATTAAACAAGTGCTGACGCCTGCGATATTCGGCTGTCACAGTTGATGAGGCCTCCATGCCCAACGAGGTGGGTCTAGCAGTGACATGAGGGTGACTTTGTTTATAGTAGACAGTCGCTTCATGCTCTCCCTTTTCTCCTCTCGCAGCAAGCGTCTTACGATGGCCAGACAATATCAAGGTGACGGGAGGCGGGCGCGGGCTCAGTGGCTGATAAGGCCAAACCCGTCTACGTGTGCCAAAAACGACCCAGTTTCCACTACATGTACCAGACTTCTGTTGGGCGGTTCGGATATCACATGCGGAAGGCTGCTACAAGGGTCACATTAATAAGTAGCTATTGCGGCTGATCCTTAGTCCTGAGAAGAACCGGGTTACGCTGTCAATTGGCAAGCTAGGCCTACGTCTAGGAAGTGACGCACACATGTACAGCAGTGGTTACAGGCCGGCACGGACTCGGCGCAGCCAGATAAACGTGCGTTGTGAGCCGGCCCGACTCCTGCTATCGCCCTGCTCATCTGCAATGCAAAGTCGTTTGGGGCACACACAGACAAACCCCACACACACGAACCCGACTTAAAATAAAGGGGCGTCTCAGATCTCTGACGGAGGAGAGTTGCAATAAAGGTCGCATTGAGAGGAAGTAATTGCAGCCCGACCCTCAACCCCGAACGGGTTCGATTTGTGCTGCCGGTTGACAGCCTTTTCAGCCACGACTTTCGATGACTCTTGATTTTGTAGATGTGCGAAAGATCATTTTAGTATTAAAATGAGCTCTAAGTGTTAGTCCCGCCTTAAACTCTACTGTTCTTCCCCATTCTCTATCGGTGGCAAGTCCCCGTTAAGCTGACTGTCGTGGCGTAGAGCCCGTTTGACGCACATCGTACGCGCGCGCGTGTGTGTGGCCCAGTTTACGACCAATACTCCAGCGCAATCCGTTTTGGTGCCACATCTGCAGGTGTTGGTGAACGCAAACGACAGACCAGGCTGACTGATGGACCGGAGGGTAGGGGAAAACAACGACGGTCCTGCGTTTCCTACCTTTCCGCCCCGATGTTTTGCCACAATATCCGCTGGAATCCCTACTACTACTACTACTACTACTACTACTACTACTACTACTACTACTACTACTACTACTACTACTACTACTACTACTACTACTACTACTACTACTACTACTACTACTACTACTACTACTACTACTACTACTGCTGCTACTACTACTACTACTACTACTACTACTACTACTACTATTTGTAGACCCCACGGACTTAGTTTGTTCAAACTAAGCGGCTTACCGTGTTGGTACACTCTGCCTTTGTGCCCATCCGCCAGCTCTTGAACTGTGGTCTTATTTGTCCGCATCATAGCTCTCAACTTAATCCCACCCGCATGCATGTAGGATCTTTTTACACATTGGTTCTGGTCGCGCCGCCTCTTAATTGAGGTCTGAATTCAGCCACTGCTCAATTACGGAGAGACGAGGCGGTTTGGGAAAACACTCCCTCTACGATGCTGGCCGAGGGTTCAGACACATTTAGGGTGTGTCGGAATGGTTGTCCTTAAGCTGTACTACCCTAATCCCAGACCTAGGGCTCGACCTCAAGCTTGTCTCCGCCCTGGGCTCCGAATGCTCCCTGACGGTTGGGACAGGTTGCGGCGCTGCTGTTGGAGAAGAGCTCATCCTTGCAGCTGGTTGAGCAGGTCAGACAGGCTCTGAAATGGAGTTGTGGTAGGCGGCGAAACGCTATAAGTGGCAGCTGGGAGCAGCGTTGGCTGCACAGGCTGAACAAGCGGACTTCATGGTGGCATTTTCCCGCTACAGGCGACGAGGACCACTGCTATTCTAGGGGGGGGGGGGCGTAGAGGTCATAGCAGTGACTTGCGCTCGGGTTTGTCTGTTGGGAGACAAGCCTGTGCGACGGTGTTTAGGTGTCAAGGTAAGATTAAGAGGACAGGAGAATGGCGCAGGCGGTTTGATCGACGACGCTAGGCAGACCGTTTATGGACGCGATCTTTAAACTCTGCACGATCCAGCCCTTAAAGTACAGCAGATGAGCTATCTCATGAATTGCTAGCCGAAATTCTTAAATGTGTCTTCGATTAGAAAAAATTACTTAAGTAATGTCGTAAGACTAACTCTTGCGTAGCATAGACACAGGACATTTCAGTTACTTCAGGATGCCGGCTTTTGAACGGGCTCCTTTCGGCCGCTTGCAAAGACTACACCTTTTAAGCAATGACTACTTAAGTAGTGTAAGCCTTTTCCACTGATTTTATATGTTCATACACATTTTAGTTTATTTCACAGAAAAACGCGAAGGAAAACTTTTTCTTGTGCTAAGTTGGTATCCAATTTCGTCTTCTTCAAATTTTACGCTTGAAGAAAGAGTATTTTTCGCATTAAAAGTTTCTAATTATGCGATTCTTTGACACCGTGAGACGTCTACCCATAAACTATCGTCCGTATCCACCCATTAATGCCGCACGTAAAGTATACGACATGGTCCACATCTACTGTTAAGTTTCATGAGCCCTATATATAGAGCATATGTATAGTTCCCTTTAGATAAGATATGCAGTTTGTGATTTGAAAACCTCCAGTACCAGTGTTAGTACAAGCGGGTTAAGTCCAAAACTATTCAGGAATTGAGTTTTTTTAAACGGAAAGATTTGTTTCCTCTAAGCATAAAATTCGAAGATGTAACTTGTTAGCAACTAACCGCATGAATATAATTCTTTCTTACATACTTTCTATGAAGTATGCCAAAATTTATAGAGACAAAAATCAATGGGAAAAATTCATGCTACTTAATTAGCAAATTCTCACAGGTTGTAGTTTTTGCAAGCGGCCAGAAAGAAGCTGGTCCAAAAACTGGCATCCTGACGTGACTGAAATATCCTGTGCTTGTGCTGCGCAACGGATAGTCCTACAGGGCTACTTAGGCTATCTTTTCTTATCAAAGGCACGTTTCGGAATTTCGGTTAACACATCTCACGAGATAGCACACCTACTTTAAGTCGTGTAGATTATAGTGAGGAAACCACGCACTGCATTCTCGTGAGGAGGGATAACCTGGGAGCTGTCGCAGCTGGCGTATCCATCAAACGCGTGACACGCGCTGATAAGGTAATTAATAGGGGCTCACCCAGACTCAATGCATGCTATGAACTGCTACGGTTCTGGTTTTAGTCTTGCCTAATAGCGACACGGGACGAACTGTGACTGTTCATATGAATTAACCTCTATCTCATCATTCTCCTCACTCTTGCACGGGCGGGGTGGCCCACAGCCACAAGTTGAAGCAGAAAAATTAAATAGGCAGATGCACATGGGTTGTTTTGGAGGACACTACACTGTTGTGCAAGTAAATCTGATCATAAAACCTACTTTGGACTGAAATACTTACTTATGCTCCTTCATTGTGACTGCAAATCCGCAGCCAGTTTGTCCATGGAGTGCTTCAAAACCTTCCGCCTACCAGATTTGCAGTCCTTCTCTCGTTGACCCAGCAATCGGGCTTTTTCTCTCCCAGACTTTAGCGAGCCGGTTTTCGAGTTGGAGTGGCCCTCCCCCCTTCCTCCGCCACAGTCCCGTTTCCCTGAAGCAAATTCCTGGCATCATCCTCGCCGTCATCCAGACGGTCTGCCGCTTGCCAATAACCGTCTCGGTGTGCACGAGGATGTCTCCTTCGACGTCTACCTGGACCGCTACCGCGATCGAAAGGACCTGAACGCCGAGGTGGTGCGCGAACGCCTGGCTGCCGAGGGCAACCCTCTGAATGCGGACGAGCTGACGCGCCAACAACCGGAGTTCCCTCTGGCAGTGCCGATCGACCCTCAGATGCCCTCCTGGTGGAGGGTACGGGAACGGCAGAAACGCCTTCGTCAAGGACGTTGGCAAGCTCTGGAGGGACACCAGGACTAGAGCCCTGTACAGTAGTCATAGACATAGTTATGGTCCACCGCCTGTCCCCCTACCTGCTCGTTTTTTGCCAACTGAATGCTTCCAAATGCAAACTGTCCAATCCCAAAATATTCTGCTCTCTGCATTTGGTCGGGTCGTCTCGCATTCATGCCTTTTCACTTCGTCAGTCACCAGCCTGGCTCAAGTGTTTCGTTGTCCAACCCGTATTCCCATTTATCCCACGGTGTGCTGAAGGGTACACTGGGGGGGGGGGGGGGACCGTTGTGTTTCTGTAGCCGATGGCCGACCCCAGAAACCGGACGAATCCAAACTCCGTGGCCAGCCACTGAGACCGAAAGTTTGGGCGATACGTCAAAGTAGGTCTCACCTGCGAAACTTCCTTAAAATGGGCAGTTGGAAGTGGCTTTTCGCGTGCCTTGGACTCAGGATGAGTCTGCTAGTTCTGGTGTTTGTGAAAAAAGTAGGGATTTTGTTTCCGACCTTCCGCTGTCTAATCCTCGTATTCATGCCTGGATGGACCATGTACTGTCTCAAATGCATAAATTCACTTATACAGCAGTGAAGTAGAGGTATTTTTTTTAACCACATCGACATTTAATATTCCTGCCGATAAGGAACCGAAATGAATATCAGGACATCTCTAATGCAGACGGCAAGGGATAGTTACTTCTGGCTGACGCAGAGGAGATGTGTTTCTTAAGAAGTTTGAAGGAGGCTCCACTATTTGTGCATTCATCGCCTTCCCGACTGTTGTGATGATAACTCCGTGCTCCACATGCGATACACACACAGAAGGGATCTCCGGTATCCCAAAGGGGATTGCACAGCATTGGATTGTTACCTTCCAATGTGAAGGCTTAGTGCTGACTGGGATTGTTTTATGCTCCTCTTCGGCATGTCTGTGTGCCTCCCGACGGACCGGTTTCCAAAAACACAACCGTAGTGCAAAATACGCATTACTCGCCCTCGAAATGGTCCTTATCTCTTGTGGTGGGAGGTCGTTCACCGATCAGGACACGGAATGTGCTCGCCCGTTGAGCCTTGGCGCCGAATATCGAGCTCGGCAAAGGTATGGCGAAGGACCCCACTTAACCGTCAGTAGACTGTGGATCGTGCTATACGTCATTTATGGTAAAGGACGTTTTATGGGTGGGGCAGCACGCTAGACAGTGAGCTGACAAAATGAAAGAAATCACAGAAATTGCCCGGATTTATGCCGAAAGTCTTACCCAACGCTATTGTACGACCACGGAACTAAGAGTAGTAATTAAACAATAAGCAAAAATAATTCATGGATGTTTTGATAGATTTTGAATAATTCATACTGACCCAACTGTGGAAAACTTGGGGCCTCGGTGGAATTCGAACCCACGCAGTAAGGGGAAGGCTTTAGTACAGCCAACGCTCTAACCACCTGAGCTACGAGGCCCCGCCGGACGACGCGAGTTTAATCACATTTGGGTCGAGTTACCCGCCCAACCTATGAATTATTCAAAATCTGTCAAAATATTAATGAAGTACGCGAGCCTGGTAGTCATCTGGTGGATTCTAAGTGAATTGCGTAGGAAATCCTGCTTGGGCAGTCAACGTACTGTATCAGATTTGGTAGGTTCCAGACGTTGCAGTAGGTTGGGCGGGTAACTTGGCCCAAATGGGATAAAAATCGCGTCGTCCGGCGGGGCCTCGTAGCTCAAGTGGTTAGAGCGTTGACTGTACTAAAGCCTTCCCCTTATCGCGTCGGTTCGAATCCCACCGAGGCGCCGAGTTTTTCACCGTTGGGTCAATATGAAACAAAAATAAATTTTACAAAATAACGGATTTCAAGTTAAGGTGTGAGGTCGTGGGAAGTGATCGTTGTTGGCAGTGTAATGTCTGCAACGGCCTGCAAATGTATACTAAGGTAAAACCCCATATGACACAGCCCACAGTCTACTGACAGTTAAGTGGGGTCCTTCTCTATACCGTCGCCTAGAGCTCTCGCAGGCAGCCGCCCAGCGACCAGTAATATTATGCAGGGTGGTCGTGTGGTCGCGACCTCTGCCATTAGAGGACGGACCTAGTTTTCACTAAGCCATCAACCAGCTCGGTGGGCTGAATTAGAATTCAATCTTACCCCTGGAAGGTTGGTGGTAAGGCTCGGTTACGCTGTCCCGGTCCCAAGTGTAAGCTCAATGTGGGCATAGCTGGTGAAGTAAGCCGAAGGTGGATGCTGAAACCGTTAGCGGAATAGCAGCCAAAGCCAAAACGGGGAAAGGCGACTTGATGTTTCGGTTTAGAGGTAGGGTTCGTTTCAGGCTTTTGTTTAGTGTCGGGTTGAGAGTTGAGTTTAGGTTTTGGGTTTGTGTTAAGTTTAAGGGTTCCGGCTGAAGTCGGGATTTGGATTGAGGTTTAGGTTTACGTTTAGCGTTAAGGTTGGGGTTAGGGTTAAAGTTCGGGTTACGGTTAAAATAGGATTTGGGTCAGGGTTAAGGTTAGGCTTAGGGTAAGGACTAGGGTTTGTTGTTGGTTTAGGATTAGCGTTAGGTTTACAATTCCGTTAAGGATTGGGCTTACTTTTGAGTTTATGGTTAGTTTTACTGTTCGGTTTGGGGTATTACTGTCCCCATGTGCTCCGTCAACCAGGTCTTTTGCGGGGATTCTAGGGTTCCTTCAACCTTGCGGCAAAGTTGTCATACGTCAGGTTGCCTTTTCCGTGTTAGTCTCGGCTACTTTCCCACTATCAATTCCAGCATCCCCTTTCGACTCGCTTTACTTTCAATGCCCACATTTCGCATACACTTGGGACCAGGACCGCGTGATCGATCCATACCAGGTTGGCTAACAGAAGGGAGTGATGAAGCCTCGGTTTTACAGCGAGCGTGCGTGTGTCATCGGTTTGACCTCAGCCAGAAATCAGGTACCGCGCACCAACCGACAGGTTAAATCAGGACTGCGGATCCGGCTGCATCAGCCTCTTTTTAATGCGGCCTTTGTGACAGTCTCACGCACCTGTGCGCTCCGAGATTCCCTGAATGAAACCGAGTGTGTATGCAGGCCGCGTGTGTCATGCTTGGACGGACCGTCTACCTTACACCCACGCCCGTCTGCGCTCGTCTCGACGCCGTCTTGCCATCTGAGGACGCCGGAGTGTGGGAAGAGACAGTGAGGTAGATGGAGAGGACGTCTACCTCATCACGCGCAAGTCGCGACTGTGCCACCTAGGGCAGCAGTGGACCTCGTTCTCCACGATGGTCGAACAAGACTTACCTCGAGCTGGCCGCTGTCAGCCAGGTCTATCAGTCCATCAGATGATAAAAGATCCACTGGGAGGCTAGTCTCACAGTCTCCTTCACCAAAACTAATGAGTTTTTGTACTACGAAGGCGATATCATCGAGCGATGCCCACAATCGTTGGACAGCAGCTAAACGCTTCGATTGTTGGCCTGCGGCCTTAAGACTTGCGGTTGTCAGACGTCGAAAACGCCTGTGAAGAGGACGGAGTGACTGTGGCCGGGGTTGGAATGAGATCCGTAATTATAAATTTTTCCGCTCGCGTGCTTCAGCTGTGCACAGACTGTGGTACGCTCGCCTGACCTCCCAATTTGCTGTCTGTCGTAAATCCTTCACTTGCATTTAAAAGGAAATAGCGAAAATTGCTTCACTGGTAGTCTGGTATGGAATTGCCGATGTAATGACTACGCCTGTCTGGCCTACCCAGTTCCCCTACTGCTACTCTTCCACCACCACCACCACCACCACCACCACCACCACCAC